ATATATATATATATATATATATATATGTAAGCGCCTAATTAAAGATCATGTAGGTCGCACCACCTATGAAAAATGGGCCATATTAATTAGACTAGTTGATCGACAGATTGAGCTGCGATCGCTGGGGGTCGAGCGTTGCGGGGTTCGAATATTGGAGCAGTGAGATTACGTTGGGAAGTCGTCGAGAGAGTTACTCCGAATCCGCGAGCGTGCGAGTAATTTTTCGGAAAATAGATAGTCTAGGAGCGAGCGTACTCTAATTTGAAGCGAGAGTGCCTAAGTAATATAACTATGTAAAGACAGCAACAGTGTGCGTGCTCCGGTTGCCGTCGGAGATTGTAACAAAAGGGTGAGAGTTGCCCGAGACTTGTATCTGTGAAATTTATGTATATCTATTCAAATACAGCACTCTCCGTTTTCATTAATACTGGCTCTGAGTTTTCGATCCTATGTGTGTTTGAAAAGCCCTTTTGTTTGATGCGCTTACAGTAGTATTTTCTCAGAAGTGGGATAGAAACGGGATATCGACACAGAGAAGAAAACGGAACAGAATTCGGCTTTAACGGAAAAAGGAGTGTGAAGCACGTGCATAGCCATTTTGGGATTGAACCGTTTGAAGTAGCGACCATTTTGGGCACCGCATTCCAAAACGTTCGAATTCGAACAAACAACTTTAATTCCTGTTTTTGTTTTGTACCTCGAGCCTCTCAGTGGTGCTTCGATGCGTTAATAGGTGCCGGTCAAAATGAACCGCGTTCAACTCAAACAATTAAATGTAGATGGTCTGCGCGAGGTAGCACAACAACTGGATCTGGATGTTCGCGGAACACGTGTCGCGATCTTTGACCGGCTGACCGATCATTATGAGCGCAACGGGTGGCCGGAGCGGATAGCGATAGCTGGACCAAGTACGTCAGAGGGTGAGAGCCAGGGCAACGACGCTGCGGCGCCCTCGATTACTGATCATTTAACAGGTCCAGATCTACTTCCATTGAATACCGGCCACACGCTTCAACCTACTCCAAATATGAATGTACAGGAAATTATTCAAGCGGTGGTGCGAGTGCCAGAGACTAACCGCTCACGATGCGAAGAACCAGCGGGGCAGTTGTTGCGTACAGTCTGGGGAACAGGAATAACGGGGTCACTCCATATTATGTCGCACAACTGGAACCAAGTGAAATTCACGTAAAAATTAATTCCAACCTTCTCCGTAAAAGAAGAGGAGAATGTTGTTCGATGGGTTGAATGATGTATAAGCATCGCAAAGATGTACCACATATCAGACGAGACATTGGTTTTAGCTGCGATTAACCAGTTATCCGATCATGCAATTGATTGGTACAACCGCCAGCCAATTGAAACTGTATCTTCATGGGAAAATTTCAAATTTTGAATTCGTCAATACTTTGAAAGAAAAGAATCTGTTACGATGACACTTGCTAGAGTAAACCGACGCACTTGGAAAATGCATACAGAAAAATTTTCTGACTACGCAGAAGACAAAATGAAATTAATGCTGTAACGATGCACCCCCTTAAAAGAACGCATCGTTCCTACACACGAAACCCAGCAGGAACCGGGCGCAGCGCGCCCGGGTTATTTTTTTCGCCACCCAGCGAAGCACTCGGGAAATTCACCCCACCGAGCACTCCTTTTTTTACAACCCTCCCGGAGATTACCGACGAGACGCGAAAACGTCCGAACCTGCGCCCGAGCGGGTATAAAAGCCGGGAGAACTTTCGACGAAGACACTTCTCGCTTGACTCGCTACCCGCAGTCCGCCAGAAGACCTTCCGCTCCAGTACCGCAAGCAGCTCGCA